GGACTACTATTTTGAAGTTTTTATAACTTTTAAACGAAAAATTAAATATTTAAAATATTTTTCATGTTTTAAAATTATAAATTAATATTATGTTTTATTTTGTGGGATCTTAGGATCCCGATCCCGATCTTGCAAAACCAAAACGATCCTACGTAAGATCCCGATCTTAAAAACCTTGTGTAGGACGCCTTATAGTTTGAGGAATGTATTAGTTGAGAATAGTGACTTGGAGGAGTCGGGGTTGTCCTTGAGGAGGGTATAAATAGGTGTGGAAGGTAGTATTGGGTCCGTACTACTGAAAGCACAAGATTTATACCCAAGACCAGGAAGACCACGATGAATCTAGGGAACTCGAGAGTGTGAACCTTCTCGTCTGCTTGCTAATCGTTTATATGGTTATTTTTGAGTATGTGGTGACATGTTTCGGAGCAGGGGGTTTAGGATCTGGATCTAGTTCGGGCACGGGCACCGAACCGATTGATGGGGGATTACGCGAGTTCATTGCGTCAGATATTACTAGAGGCATCCTTGATACGACCTCCGTGATGTTCGGGTCGATCAAGGAGGGCATCATGGAGCTAACGTAGGATCGCCTTCAGATCTTCAGGGCCGATTTGGCCGCTAGCCATTCAGGGGCCCGTACAATCTACTTTAAGGATTTTAGGGGATGTGGGGCACCAGATTTCTTTGGCGTGAAGGACCTAATCTCAGCCAAACGTTGGATAGATGACATTGAGTGTGCTCAAACGACGAGCTTCTTCTCTGAGGGGTTAAAGGTCAGGTTCGCCGGATGATGTTTGAGGGAGCGAGCCCGAGATTGGTAGGAGGAGGTAGGCTATGCTTTGGGAGCCCTGACCATTGAGGCCATGACTTGGGCAGATTTCGTGACCCAGTTTCGAGCAGAGTTTGCACCGGCTGTTGAGGTGCAACAGTTAGCCACAGAGTTTCTTGACATGAGGCAGACGACTGAGACTGTGGCAGAGATCACCACCAAGTTCAGAGAAAGGGCATTGTTGGTACCTCAGTATCCAACTGACAAGGAGATAAGGAAGACCCGAGACCATGATATGCTGAGATCTGACATCAGGGAGTTCGTTAGTTTTTCTGCCTGCCCGACTCTGGATGATATGATATCCAGGGCGTGGGAGCGAGAGACTGATCTGGAGCACATAGGGAAGAGGAAGGCACAGCCTGGGCAGACGGTTGGGATTTCAGCGAAGAAACCCAAGAGTTTCGACTCTAGGTCGAAGGGCCAGCAGGGTCAGAGCCGTTGTGGCAAATGCGACAGGTCGTATGATGGGGTTTGTAGAGTGGGTGGTTCGGACTGTTACAAGTGCAGCAAAACAGGGCACTTTAGCAAGGATTGTACTGCTGTTATCACCACCACCCAGACATCAGATCTGATTTGCTTTCATTGCAATCAAAGGGGCCACAAGAAGGCCAAGTTCCTGAGTTTAGCGTCAGGAGGACCAGTGGTAGCACCTGCCCCAGTGACTCTACAGATTACAGATGGCCGCCAGGACAAGGCGGATGCGCCTGTTGTGAGGAGAAGGGCCTTTCAGCTGGCTGATGAGGAGGTGCATGCTGCACCAAATGTGGTGACAGGTATGTCTTTTCTCCTTAACTTTTTATTTATGCTGATTTATCTGCTTATATTTGTGTGTTTTGTCTTAGGATCGTTCCTTGTGAACGACATCTCTGCTTTGATATTATTTGATTTGGGGGCTACCCGATCTTTCGTGTCTCTTGTGCTCAACACGAGGTTTGTTGGAGCTCCAAGCGAGCTGGATCATCCGTTAGAGGTTAAGATTGCAGATGATCGATCTGTCCAGGTATCGAGGGTTCATCGGGATTGTGTTCTAGAGATGTTTAGCGAGTTGTATCCGATCGACCTGGTTCCCATTACTTTGCGCGGGAAAAAAGGTCATAGTAGGGATGGATTGGCTGAGCCCCAATGGGGCGATGATTGATTGTGAGCATCAGATGGTGCGTGTTTGGACCCCAAGTGGGAGAGAGTTGGTGGTTCATAAAGAGGGCGCTCAGCACGTGCCGGTCCTATACTCAGCCGCTAGGGCCAGACGTTATCTTCATCAGGGTTGTTCCAGTTTCTTCGCCTATGTTATGGATACCCGGAAGAAGGGTAAGGTGTCAGTTGATGATGTGCCGATTAATCAGGAGTACCCGGATGTGTTTTTGGAGGATTGGCCTGGGGTGCCTCCAGAGAGGCAGGTGGAGTTCCGGATTGACTTGGTTCCTGGTGCGGCTCTGATAGCCAAAGCACCATATCTGTTAGCTCCACTAGAGATGCGGGAGTTGTCTATACAATTGCAGGAGTTGTTAGACAAGGGATTCATCTGACCGAGTCGCTTACCGTGGGGTGCGCCGATCCTGTTTTTGAAGAGGAAGGATGGGTCGCATCGGATGTGTATTGACTACCAGAAGCTGAATAAGCTAACGGTGAAGACCCGTTATCTACTCCCGAGGATCCATGTTTTGTTTGACCAGCTTCAGGGTACATCTTGGTTTTCCAAGATTGATCTTTGTTCAGGTTTTCATCAGATGAGGGTCAGAGAGAACGATTTGCAGAAGACGGCCTTCCGGACTTGTTATGGTCATTACGATTTCGTGATGATGGCCTTCGGGCTCACCAATGCTCCAACCGCGTTCATGTATTATTATACACATTTCCAACAGTAATTCCATGAGTCTACCTAACAAAATGTATGATAACTTCAACATGGATAGGATTTCAATGCATTAAAGGTTATCTCATTTTCGATTCTTAAATGCAATCTAAGGATCAATCTAAGTGGATCATCGATATCTTAGTTTTGTAGCCCAAGATGCGACACCATTGTGTATAGTTGGTTACGTAGCCACGTGATTTCAAGAAATTAATATATCAAAGATTTGTTGTTTAGTAAGGTCATGACCATGCATTCGGGGTTTATGTAGTTAATACTCAAGAGTTGGTTGTACGGTAAGGTCATGGCCATGCATTTAGGTTTACTTATTAGCATGAAGTTGTAGTTTTGTGGAATTAATATAATATTCTTGATTACAATGCATATAAGTACTGGCTACTTAAATGATATTTGAGAAGTTCATAATAATAATGATTATAGTCAGTGACATATCAACATTAGGGCATTGCTGAAAAAAAGGATTTGTCTTCCATGCCCAATTTGCAAAACCCACAAACATGGATGAAACAGATTATCAAACCAAGTTGAAAAAATCTACTCTACGATTATATAGATACATGCACACAAGGTATCATTGAAGTTTTTGATAAGGAGGATGCTTCAGCCTTGTGTAAAAAAGTCAATGGACTTTATGGGAAAGAATTAATTATTGTTTTTTTTTCTAAATAATTGAAAATGGTTTGAATTTTTTTTTCATAAAAGTCACTAAGTTTTCACAAAAATTCCATATTAACACTATGTTTTTTTTTCAATTAAGTCATTAATTACATTTTATTTTTTGTTTCAGTTTTGATACATAGAGTGTGATGTCACCAAAAAGTGTCATGTCATCATGTTAAGTCAACGCCACATCACCAAGACTGACACATCAAAATGCTATAATAAACTCGAAAGATAAAATTGTATGGATGAATTCCCCGGTGGAATTATTAGTTGGTTAATGAGAACTATAAATCCTAAGTTGCGGGGTGATTTAAAGTGAGTAATCGGACTGACGGTTTACATGCATAAACCGTTTAGTAGTTATAGTGTGGGACCTGATGAATGGTAACATATGTTACTAGGTTCAGTTAGTGGACCAATAATGGATCATTGTGGTAATTATAATTATAAAAGTGAGTTGTACAAGTTCTAAGAAACTTGGCTTATTATCCAAACAAGTTTGGACAAGTGAGTGGGTTAAGAAGCATCATAGAATCAAAGATCCTAGTAGAAGTTAGTCTTCACGTAGCCAAATGAGTATGTGTGCATTTGGGTACATAGCAAAGTAATGTGAAAATGTGTGAATAAGTCACTAGGTGTAATTATGGTTGGTTATATAATAATGTTTTGATGTTAAAATATTTTAAAAATATAAATCCTTAGTTTCCACGATTTACAAAAAAAAAAAAGATATTCTGGAAAGAATAAGCATGTCAATTGTTTAAATGATTTAATAAGGGCATTGCTAATAGTTGGTGAATTTGATAACTAGTATAATGTATGATTGGATAGTGAGAGCTTTGGTTAAGCTCTGCAACCATGTACTTGATTATTGGATGTGCTTGGGCAAATAGCCTATATGTGTGCAAATGTTATAAGCTTAAAGGAAAGTTGCTTGGTAGAAAGCTTATATGTGTATTTATGTTAAGAGTTTATCGAAAGCCATTTGTAATAAATGGTGTAAAATGCTTATTTGTGTTAAACGCTACAAGTGTGTTTGTGTGGATCAAAATCTTATGAAAAACTATATATGAATTTATGATAACAACTTTATACAAAAGCTATATGTAAAAAGGCGCAGAATGCCTTTTATGTGACTGAGAATTCATTGTATTCCAAATGCTGTAAAAAGGAATTAGAGTAGGTTTGTGATTCTTTTCTCTTGTGCTATAAATTTTGATATTGTTTTGTAACACCAAATGCTGTAAATTCTGATAATAATTTAAACTTTTTTTTTTGTAAAAACACATTTTTATTAATAATAAATGGTTTTTAAAACGTTGGGTGTTACATTTCCTAAGTTTTGGAAAACTTATTATTCTTTCTTAGAATTTCTTTTTTCTCTATAATATAAATAATACTACGAAAATTCACTTAATTCCTACACACAAACGAAATATGATAAAAAAAAATGTAATGAATAGTTTTTAACCTTGTTTATTCCACTATCCCAACTATTCCATTTTTTCGTCATTTCATTACATCCTACCAAAATATAACTCTTTGTAATCATTTTTTGTAGTCTAATTCTCTTCAACTCTTAACGAGAAATCAATATGATTATTAAAATGCTTAATGAATTCGTGAAATGTATTAGAATTTGTAAACCATTTCTTCTGTGTATCCAAGTTCTTTGAGTAATCCGGTTAGCTGCAAGAACACGATAAGCATATTAGGGTATCATCTGTTATAACATTCTACTTCCATTTTTTTTTTCATATTACATGTTTAAATCCATACCTCGCCTTGTGATCGGTCTTTTGCCTTGTCACCCGATATATGTTGCATCATTCCCGGTGGACCACACACCTAAAGAAAGCAACAAAAACGAATTTGAATATTTTAAGGTTAACTACAAGAAATAACAACATATTTCCATTGTTATTGTTTAATAAAGAATTCCACTTTTATTCTTTCCTATTACAACATTGTCTTTGAAAAATATCTACCAAAATAGCAATGTTCAATGTTCTAGTCTAGTAAATTTTCCAAAATAAAATGTTTTAATATGAAAAAAAATTAAATTACAAGGCTATAATCGGGTACATTGTTACTACATTATATTAAGAAAAAAAATCAAATGCATAATGCTAATATTGGGTAAGTTTTTTAAAGTAAAATGATTTAATAAGAAAAAAATAATAAAATAAAAACTTACAAGTATAAGGGTATCATCACTCGGGGTAGGCAAGCCTTTCAAGGCCATATCCTTTGATATAAAACCTGTACCTCCGACCCAATATTTTGATGGATTATCAACAGTATAAAACACATGTACTTTTCAAAAAAGGTGTTTCAGTACTTGACATGACATGACATAAGAACTGTAGACTGTGTTTGGTGTATACTGTGTTTGGTATGCATTGGACTGGGACTCAACTGATGTCAATGAGACAAAATGTTGAAAGCGTTTGTCCCACCAAAAAAAGGTAGGACATCGTATGTGAAAAAGACAAGAATGCCCTCGTGCATACAAATATAATTTTGTAATATAGAAAAGATGGCACCTTTAAGTTGGGGTGGGTAGCTGCAAGCATGTCGAGTCTCTTTTTGAGAAGAATATCATCCGGGGATACATTCGCATAAACCAAAGATACCTTAAAAAAACAAAATCCCATGTATAAATTCAATATGGAATTCACAAATTATTAAAAAGAAAATAAGAAAAAGGACATTCTTACTTTGGTATTGTCATTAGGATTCTTAAGAATAGCCTCAATCACTTGAAGCATTGGAGTGATTCCTGATCCACCTGCAATCTAGATGAACATATTATTTTACACTATCTCCCCAAAACACATAGTGTGTGTGTGTTTGTGTGTGTTTTCACTTACCATGCCAATGTGTTTCTTCATACTGGGAGTGTATCTAACTTTCTCAACAGGGCTGGATGTGATTCATGTTTGTTAGTTTTAAATAGATTAAATGATTTAATAATGGATATAAATATATAATAATGCAAAATCGAGTAAATGGTTTACCCTTTTACTTCAACTATATCCCCTGGCTTTAATTTTGCGAAATACTGGCTCATTTTTCCTTCAGGATAAACCTAGATAAGATTGTGACATAAATAACCAAACAAGTTTATAATATTTAACATGAAGAATGAAGAACAATGGTAGTATGCATACCTTGATCATCAAATCAAAGTAACCTTTAGAATCTGGATCGGATATAGGTGTATACCTGAAAATAATTCTTATATAATTTCTACAAAAAAAAGATATATTATTGGGCATAAAAAGCCCAATCCATATTGGAATTTTAATAGGAAACTTACGGGCGAATAACATATTTTCTTTTCCCATCGGCATCTTCTCCCAATGGAGCCCTAAATCCGAAGATAATGACACATTGTTAAAGTTTCAGGCATATGCGAATTAGAATCTTCTTGTGAAGTTTGATTATTAGCTGAATAGATGTTTGTGAACTTGCCTTGTAATGAGGCATGATGCAACATCGAGTCCCAACTTCAGATTAGGATCAAAAGAGAATCTGCAGTGATTTAATCCATGAAAGAGAAGAAGACATGAAGTGGGGTTCAGTATAAAATGAAATAGGAATTCTGGGTGTATGAAGAATTAAGATAACCTGTATATATGGGTATTGTGGCTGACTGTTGCCTTATCTTGTAGCTTAAACGTTTGCCATTTTTTAGGATCAAGAGCTGAGAATACACAAATACATCATGAAATTCAATATAAAGATATCGCATGATGGGGTGAGAGAAGATAAAACAAGAAATTTACCAGATTTTGGACCTGTTTCCTTGTTGATTGGATCTAAATGGACCTGTCAAAGGAGTAATCTTTTCAGAATCTTAGATTGGAATCGTTATTAAGATTTAAAGTTAGTTTGATTTAATTTGACATCGGAAGACAAATTGTGATTATCATCAGTTCACTGAATTCACTAATTATTTGAATAGCCTTATGTAATCAGTCAAACCACGATATAAACACGTAATAAGATCGCATTTGGTATATTTCTGATTCGAAAAGTAGAAGAGAAATGCAAGATAAATTACCAAATTTGGTTCAGAAAAGTAATAAAAATACGACATTCCACCAGATATAGCAGCGATTGCTCCAAATGGAATTGGGAAATTGTTTGAATTTGATTGCGATTTGCCTTGAAATGCATGGGAAAATGTGATCGGTACAACTTTTCCTAGTCGCTTGAAGAACACCGACATCTTAAAAAATGGCGATCGAGAGACAGGAAGTGGGATTTTCAGGGTTTTATCGTTTTAGTGAAGCTCCTTCTCAGAGTTCCAACTTTCATGGCAGAAGCAGCATACAACAGCAATTTCTGATAGTAGTGTGGTCGACCGTAAGTTTCGTGGATCTTACACGTGTCATTGCCTAGTTTTTAATTTCCTAGAGTAAATTACAATTTTCATCACTGTAGTTGACAAGAATCTGCAGGTTTAGTCCTAGCTTTTGAAAACTGGCACTAGTTGTCCTCATAATTGGCAAATCCATCAAAAATGGTCATTTCCAATGATATTGTCTACTATTCGTTAAATAGAGAGACCATATGCCCCTCACACTAGGGATGTCAACGGGGACAAAGGGACATGGGTTGCATCCCCCGCCCCCACCCTCCTGAAATTCCACCATTCCCACGCCCCCACCCTCGGAGCCTTGCATTACCCTCACCTT